GTAGCCAGTGTGGTTGTGTGGATACGTGGTGCAGAGGGGGTGTGTGCGGGGGGGGGGGTATGTGTCCACTGTGGTTGTGTTGTTGTGGGGGGGTGTATTTATAGCCATTGTGGGTTTGTGTGTGTATCGCAGTGTGTGTGTGTGTTGCAGTGGGTGTGTTACCAGGGACCGGTGTCTGTGTGTGTTGCGTGTGTGTGTGTGTGTGTATCACAGTGTGTCTGTGTGTCACCAGGGACCCGTGTGTGTGTGTGACCAGGGGACCCGTGTGTGTGTATCACAGTGTGTCTGTGTGTCACCAGGGACCCGTGTGTGTGTGTGTGTCACCAGGGACCGGTGTGTGTGTGTGTGTGTGTGTGAGACCAGGGACCTGTGTGTGTGTCACCAGGGGACCCGTGTGTGTGTGTATCACAGTGTGTCTGTGGGTCACCAGGGACCCGTGTGTGTGTGTGTGTGTGACCAGGGGACCCGTGTGTGTGTATCACAGTGTGTCTGTGTGTCACCAGGGACCCGTGTGTGTGTGTGTGTGTGTGTGTGTGTGTGAGAGAGAGACCAGGGACCCATGTTTGTGTCACCAGGGGACCCGTGTGTGTGTGTGTGTATCACAGTGTGTCTGTGTGTCACCAGGGACCCGTGTGTGTGTGTGTGTGAGACCAGGGGACCCGTGTGTGTGTATCACAGTGTGTCTGTGTGTCACCAGGGGACCCGTGTGTGTGTGTGTCACCAGGGGACCCGTGTGTGTGTATCACAGTGTGACTGTGTGTCACCAGGGGACCCGTGTGTGTGTATCACAGTGTGACTGTGTGTCACCAGGGGACGTGTGTGTGTGTCTGTGTGTCACCAGGGGACCCGTGTGTGTGTCTGTGTGTCACCAGGGGACCCGTGTGTGTGTATCACAGTGTGTCTGTGTGTCACCAGGGACCTGTGTGTGTGTCACCAGGGGACCCGTGTGTGTGTATCACAGTGTGTCTGTGTGTCACCAGGGGACCCGTGTGTGTGTGTGTGTGTGTGTGACCAGGGGACCCGTGTGTGTGTCACCAGGGACCGGTGTGTGTGTGTGTGTGTGTGTGACCAGGGACCCGTGTGTGTGTGTGTGTGTGTGTGTGAGACCAGGGACCTGTGTGTGTGTGTGTGGGTCACCAGGGGACCCGTGTGTGTGTATCACAGTGTGTCTGTGTGTGTCACCAGGGACCTCTGTGTGTGTGTGTCTTGCGTTGAATCTGTGTGTGTGTGTGACCAGGGACTTATGTGTCAGACACAGTGTGTCTGTGGGTCACCAGGGACCCGTGTGTGTATTGCAGTGTGTGTAGCCAGTGTGGTTGTGTGTATACGTGGTGCAGAGGGGGTGCGTACAGGGGGAGGGTATGTGTCCACTGTGGTTGTGTTGCTGTGGGAGTGTGTATTTATATCCATTGTGGGTTTGTGTGTGTATCGCAGTGTGTGTGAGATCAGGGACTGGTGTCTGTGTGTGTCACAGTGTGTGTGTGTGTATGTGTGTTGCATTGCATCTGTGTGTGTGACCAGGGACCCGTGTGTGTGTCACCAGGGACCCGTGTGTGTGTGTGTGTGTCACCAGGGACCCGTGTGTGTGTGTGTGTGTGTGTGTGTGAGACCAGGGACCCGTGTGTGTGTCACCAGGGACCAGTGTGTGTGTGTGTCTGTGTGTGACCAGGGACCCGTGTGTGTGTCACCAGGGACCGGTGTGTGTGTGTGTGTCACCAGGGACCGGTGTGTGTGTGTGTGTGTGTGTGTGTGTGAGAGAGACCAGGGACCCGTGTGTGTGTCACCAGGGACCGGTGTGTGTGTGTGTGTGTGTGTCACCAGGGACCAGTGTGTGTGTGTGTGTGTGTGTGAGACCAGGGACCCGTGTGTGTGTGTGTGTCACTAGGGACCGGTGTGTGTGTGTGTGTGTGTCACCAGGGACCGGTGTGTGTGTCAGTGTGTGTGTGTGTGTGTGTACCAGGGACCCGTGTGTGTGTGTGTGTGTGTCACCAGGGACCCGTGTGTGTGTGTCACCAGGGACCGGTGTGTGTCACCAGGGACCCGTGTGTGTGTGTGTCACCAGGGACCGGTGTGTGTGTCACCAGGGACCGTGTGTGTGTGTGTGAGAGTCTGTGTGTGTGTCCGGACTGTGTGTGTGTGTGTGTGTGACCAGGGACCCGTGTGTGTGTCACCAGGGACCCGTGTGTGTGTGTGTGTGTGTGTCACCAGGGACCCGTGTGTGTGTGTGTGTGTGGTGTGTGTGTGTGTGTGAGACCAGGGACCCGTGTGTGTGTCACCAGGGACCGGTGTGTGTGTGTGTGTGACCAGGGACCAGTGTGTGTGTCACCAGGGACCAGTGTGTGTGTCACCAGGGACCGGTGTGTGTGTGTGTGTGTGTGTCACCAGGGACTGGTGTGTGTGTGTGTGTGTGTGTGTGTGTGTGTGAGACCAGGGACCCGTGTGTGTGTCACCAGGGACCCGTGTGTGTGTGTCTGTGTGTACGGGACCCACCAGGACCCATGTGTGTGTGTGTGTGTGTCACCAGGGACCCGTGTGTGTGTGTGTGTGTGTGTGTGTACCAGGGACCCGTGTGTGTGTGTGTGTGTGTGTGTGAGACCAGGGACCCGTGTGTGTGTGTGTGTGTGTGTGTGTGTGTGACCAGGGACCCGTGTGTGTGTGTCACCAGGGACTGGTGTGTGTGTGTGTGTCTGTGTGTGAGACAGGGACCGGGGCCGGGAGGGGTGTGGTGTGTGGGTTGTGTTGGGTGTGTGTGTGACCAGGGACCCGTGTGTGTGTCACCAGGGACCCGGGGTGTGTGTGTGTCTGTGTTGCATTGTCTCTGTGTGTGTGTGTGTTTTGCAGGGTGTGTGTCCAGCCCAGGTGTGTGGTGTGTGCTGTGACTCCCTGGAACCTGAGCTCCCTGCGGGCCTGTCCGTCCGTCTGTCCATCTATGGATCGGTATCGACTGGGAATTAGGGCACTTTACACCCCCTTGATCCACCAGCCGGGGAGGGGGGCCCCCTCCGGGCAGATGGGGGGGGAGGGGCAGAGCCAGACTGGGGGGCGGGGGGGAGGCTGGACAGATGCTGGGGTACCTGCGGGGAGGGGAGCCGTGGGGGAAAGGAGCTGGGCGGGCGGGGCAGGCAGAGGGGGGAGGTTTTGGGGGGGGCGAGGACTGGGCAGGCAGAGGGGGGTTTTGGGGGGCGAGGACAGGGCAGGCGGAGGGGGGCGGCAGGCTGGGCGTCCGTCCAGGGACAGTGCCGGGGGCACTTGAGGCTGCGTCCCTCCCCCTCGCCATGGGCACAATGCCTCCACCAGGCAGCCGGCCCAGACACCCCCCCACACACACACCCCCACATGCTGGGAACAGCCCCCCCACAGCGTGTGGCACCAGCCAACCCCAGAGGAGGGGGAGTCAGGGCCCCTGGGCACAGTGGGGCTGAGTGCTAGGAGTCCAGTCCCCCCACCAACCACTAGCCCCCACTCCCCTCCCAGAGCCCAGGCGAGAACCCAGGAGACCTGGCTCCCAGCCCCCCTGCTCTAACCCACCAGCCCCCACTCCCCTCCCAGAGCTGGGGAGAGAACCCAGGAGTCCGGGCTCCCAGCCTGCTCCCCTCAACCACTAGCCCCCACTCCCCTCCCAGAGCCGTGGCAAGAACCCAGGAGTCCTGGCTCCCTGCCCCTGCCTTAGGGACAGTCTCTCACTCGGTTTCCATGCAGCACCGGGGGGCTACAGGGGTAAAGCAGATCCCTTTCCCGCACAGGGGGGGCAGGACCCCCAGCTCCAGGACCCCACCCCTTGGGTCCAGCCCCACCCCTTGGGTCCAGCCCCATTCCGCCCCTTGCGAGGGATTGAGCAGGGCAGGAAGATTAACGCAGGACAATCTGTCAGGCCTGGCCCAGATGCAGTAATTGTGGGCGGGGGGATTAAAATGATCCGGGGGGGGGGGGAATTAAATTCACCCAAGGGGAAAAAATTATGTAGGTTACTAGGGGAGAAAATTCTTCCCAGGATGCTGGGGGAAGCCCCCCCCCAAAAAAAACAGGGTCTTGGGAAACAGATAGGAGGGGGCCCCCAGGCTGTCCATTGCCCCCAACCCCCACGACGGGATCTGTCCCTGGTCCTGCAGTAACCTCCCCCCTCCCACGCAGAGCCAGGGAGAGAACCCAGGAGTCCTGGCTCCCAGCCCCCGCATCATGTGGAAGAACAAAACAGCATCCCCCTCCCTCTGCATCAGGGCACCCCGGCGCTCAGAAAAGGCCATAATGAGAAGAACAAGACACACACCCTTCTCCTGTGTTTCCCCGCCCCCTATGTGCTGGCCCCACCCTTTGCCACAGAAGGCCCCTCCCCATCAGTGTTGCAGCCCCACCCCTACCCAAAGATCTGCCTTCCCCCACCCCCCAATTAGTTACAGCACATCTTCTGACTCTTGTGCCGGGGACATTGGTGGGAGCGGTGGGATCTCCAATATTTGCCCCAGCAATTTATGTGTTGGGGGGAGGGAAAGCTGCGGGGGGGGGGACACCACAGTGGGACACCACAGTGGCTCCAGTCTGGCTCTTGGGGGAAACTGAGGTATGGAAAGGCTAAAAATGATTAGTCCCTCTGTCTAATGGGGTTCGTATCCTCCCTACCTCACGGGAAGACAAACCAATTAAAGACCACAAAGTGCCCAGAGACTCTGGTAACAGACGCGAGCACCGTAAGTTCTTAATTATTTTAATTAGCGATCCCTCGCTCCGCTCAACAGCCGATCTCAAAGTGCTTTTACAAAAGGGGCTCCAGGATCGTAATGGAGAAACTGAGGCACGTAGACTGAAAGTGACTTGCCTCGTCACAGATCCAGGACTAGGCCTCAACTAGGCCGCACTGCCTCCCTAGCGAGGGACAAATTACACTGGGCTCCAGCTTCAGTGCAGTTGTAATATATCCCATCCGTGACCTCCATACCTTGTTGCGGTGAGTTCCACCGGCTATAAAACGTTCCACGTTGAAAATTAAACACGGTTACCATCTATAGTTTTTAAGGGTGGTTTGTTTTTTTATTTCTCCTCATCTTTTACAGTAGATCCGATACAGGCAATTAAATAATTCTGCAAATAAAAACGAGCCAGCATAATAAAAAAAAGAGGTTAAAAAGCAAAAAGGGAGTTAAGTTATTTCATTCATACAGTGATCTCAAGGATGCAGCACCAGGAAAATGGGCTGGGAGAAAAGAGGGATTTAATTATTTTTTTAAAAATTACTTCCAGTTCCAAATGAAAGGGAATGGTTTCTCTCGTGGTTTACAGACAGCAGCAGAGAAGACGAGAGACCAGGCAGGAATCTACTACAGGCAAAGTTGGCATCAGCTGATTCAAGGGCAGAGTTAAGGGGATGCAAGGGATTTCCCAGGATGCTGGAGGCGGGGGTGGGGGGGCAAGTCTTGTCTCAGTGCATATGCCGCGTGAAGCGAAAAGACAGATTAAAAATAACTGTACATTAAAAGAGGAAGACAGACCCTAAGATGAGGAAAGGGGTCACAGGGGTAGGGAGCCGGGGTACGACTCAGAAGGTGCTGAAAGGTTACAGCCCAATATGGTGGCCTCAGCTCTGTAGGCCAGGAATCCAAGATGGCTGCCATTGCATAGCCCAACATGGCAGCCATTAGCCATGGAGGCCAGGAATCCAAGATGGCCACCATTCCACACCCAAGGTTTTGGCCATGAATACCAAGATTCAAAATGGTGCCTGCCCATTCCTCAGAGGCTAGGGCAAGCCTTTGACTACAGCGGCCATTTTGTTTCTTCACAGACAGAGCCAAACATAGGCCGAAAATGGCAGCCATTTTTCTTTCCTGGCCCACGTGCCCCAGTCAAGTTGGCCAGACTTTTTGCCGCAGAGGCTAAGAAACAAAATGGCCACTTTTCCACAGCCAACGGCAGCCATTTTGATTCCAGGCCTACCCAGACAATGGCCGCCATGTCTCTTTTCCAGGGCAGGGGGTCAAAATAGCATTCCTCAGCTATCGTCCAGCCATTTTGATTCCCACATGGACAACGGCAGCCATGTCGTTGGCTACAGAATGGTGGCCATTTTGATTCCCGGTCTATACAGACAATGGTGGCTTATGGAATGGCGGCCATTTTGATTCCCGGTCTACACGAACAACGGCAGCCACGTCGTTGGCTACGGAATGGCGGCCATTTTGATTCCCAAGAGACACGGACAACGGCTGCTATCCCACGATAGGGCCGCCGCTGTTCAGCCATTTTGTTTTCTAACCTACCAGGACAATGGCCGCCGTACGGGTGGCCACGGTACTGGGGTCGTTCCCATTCCCGGCCTACCTTCCTCAACTCAAGCCCCGGCACCTACTCGGTCAGGAAAACAAAATGGCCGCCGGCTCAAGACAACGCACCAAATCTCAATGTCTCCTGTAGGGGTGCGGGTGGGGGGGCTGGAAAACGGGGAGTGGGCAGAAGTGTGCGGGCTGGGGGGGTACCCGAGGGGGGGGAGAATAGAGGTCTCGGCCGTACCTTAATTTTTAATATATATATATAAAAAATATCTATATACATTTATTATTATATTAGGAAACATCTCAATGGGATTTCAAAGGGCAGGGGAAAGGGGGGGGTGTCACAGGCTCTGAGCTGCCCCCCCAAAAATGGGGGGGGAAAAAGGGCATTAGAAGAGATCAAAGCGACGTAGCATTCCAAAGGATTTTGGGGGTGCGGGGGTGTAGGGTGGTACCAGACCTTTCAGTGTAATCAGCACATTTTGGGGTGGGGGGCATAACTGGGGTGGGGGGGTGCGCCACGGGGAAGGTCACTAAAACAGCCTAAGAGCCAGGTTAGTCATCCTAGGATTTTCGGCAGGACGATTTCAAGAGCAACCCCCCCCACCCCAAAATCAAATCAAATCCCAGGGGGTCCCTCCTCCATCAAGCCCCGCCCAGGATGTACCAGGGGCTCCTCCCCTTACGAAACTGGCCCCTCCTCCTCCATTAAGCCCTGCCCATTTGGGGGTGGAGCCCCGGGAAAGTTGGGGGGGGAAGGGAGGGGAGGCAGGGCTTAGTCCCTGTTGACCCGGATCTTGAAGGCCACGCGGCCGGCGAACTTGTCCCGCTCGTCGGTGGTGGCGATGTTCACGGCGTTGATTTTACACTCCACGTTGTGGTCCGTGTTGGCCTCCAGGCTCAGGAACTTGACGGCCACGATGGGCTGGGTGTAGTTCACCTAAAGCGGGGAGGGCGGTGGGTCAGGAACCGAGGATGGGACCCCACTCCCCTCCCAGAGCCGGGGAGAGAACCCAGGAGTCCTGGCTCCCAGCCCGCCCTGCTCTAACCCACCAGCCCCCCCAATCCCCTCCCAGAGCCGGGGAGAGAACCCAGGAGTCCTGGCTCCCAGCCCGCCCTGCTCTAACCCACCAGCCCCCCACAATCCCTTTCCAGAGCCGGGGAAGAGAACCCAGGAGTCCTGGCTCCCAGCCCGCCCTGCTCTAACTACCTGACCCCACTCTCCTCCCAGAGCTGGGGAGAGAACCCAGGAGTCCTGGCTCTCAGCCCGCCCTGCTCTAACCCACCAGCCCCCCCAATCCCCTCCCAGAGCCGGGGGAGAGAACCCAGGAGTCCTGGCTCCCAGCCTGCCCTGCTCTAACCCACCAGCCCCCCAATCCCCTCCCAGAGCCGGGGGAGAGAACCCAGGAGTCCTGGCTCCCAGCCTGCCCTGCTCTAACCCACCAGCCCCCCAAAATCCCTTTCCAGAGCCGGGGAAGAGAACCCAGGAGTCCTGGCTCCCAGCCCGCCCTGCTCTAACTACCTGACCCCACTCTCCTCCCAGAGCTGGGGAGAGAACCCAGGAGTCCTGGCTCTCAGCCCGCCCTGCTCTAACCCACCAGCCCCCCCAATCCCCTCCCAGAGCCGGGGGAGAGAACCCAGGAGTCCTGGCTCCCAGCCCGCCCTGCTCTAACCCACCAGCCCCCCCAATCCCCTCCCAGAGCCGGGGGAGAGAACCCAGGAGTCCTGGCTCCCAGCCTGCCCTGCTCCAACCCACCAGCCCCCACTCCCCTCCCCCAGCAGAGATCAGGGACCCCCCAATCCTGCACAGCCCCCCAGCTGAGACCAGCCCCCCCCCCGTGTTACTCACATGGACTTTCTTGCCATAGTAGGGGAAGTACATGAGGTCGATGTGACCATTGGGGGGGAACATGACCATCTCCCCCAGCTTCTGTGCGTCCTCCTCTTTCTGGTGGGGGGGAAGGAGAGAGAGAGGGGTCAGGGGTTACCCAGAACCCCTCCAGCCGTCCCCCACCACCCTATCCCCTTGCGCGTTCCCATTGGGGTCTTCCCCTCTCCCTCCCCCACCAAAAAAACCCCTCCCCCAGCTCCGTCATCCCCCCAGCCTTAGCCCCCCCATCTACCCTGCCTGCCCCCCAGCTTCCCACCCCCATCCTCAGAGCCCCCCACACCCCTAACCTCCCCCCCGGCATGTCCCCCCCTTCATTTTCCTAGCCACCTGTCCACCCCCACCACTAAGCCCGGAGCCCCCCCATTTCCTGTCCTTACTGCACGCTCCATCTCGGGGTTCAGCTGCCCGGAAGGCGGAGGAGAGTGAGATGAAATGAGTGAATAAGTGGCCGAGAGGGAGAGGTAGCGAGAAGAGATGTCGGTAGCCAGGGAATTTGGGGAGGGGGGACAGCTCGAATTAGGGTGCAGTTGGGAGAATCTGCTCAACTCGGGGTGCCGGTTTGGTGGGGATCAGCAAAGCCATTTACTGCTCTGGGGCTGGGAGAGGCAGGGCTAAGGTGAATTTGGGGGGGCATCTAAAATAGGGGTGCAACCAGAAATCACTAACCTCAGGGTACGAGTCATAGGGACCCATTCAACCAACCAGCGGCTCCCCCAGGTCCTATGGGATGGGAATGGGAGTGCTATAAGCTGGAGGGAGGGGTGTATATATTTGGGGGACCCCCCCAGAACCCCCCACCTGAGCGTGGGGGTTCCCCGTTGCCCGGACACATCCCTTACCGCCTGGAGTTTGGAAGTGGGCGTCTGTGGGCGGGAGGAGCCGGAGAGAGACAAGGAAGATGAGTTAACGGAGAGAAAAGGGGGTGATGGAAGTGGGGGGCAGCGGGGTGGGGGGCAGGGGGGGCTCACCTTGGCAGCACAGGTGACATTCATGGTCTGGTTGGCCCCTGCGAAGAAGTTGATGACCTGGAAGGAGGAAGGGGGGGGTCACAAAAAGTGCAGGGGAGAACCCCCAAAATTTGGGGGGCACAAACCCCAGGCCGGGCTGCCCCCCACCAGCCCCACCTACCCGGTTCATCTTGATGAGGATGCAGGGCCGGCCGTCGGCGTAGCCGTAGTGGGTGGAATCGTTGAGCCCGGAGCAGGCGCCCAGCACCGTGCGGTTAAACTGGCAGGCCCGCTTGGGGTAATTCAGCACCCCATTGTCCGGCTGCTCGTTGTAGCGGCCCGGGCGGCAAGCGTCGTTGGTGGCCACCTGGATGGAGTCGTTGTAGGCTGGGGGGAGAGGGGGGGAAGTTAGCAGGTGAGTGCCAAGGAGCTACCAGAGTTACAGCCCTGAGGAGAATCCAGTGGCGGGGAGTTCTGCAGGTTAACAACGTCTGCTGGGGAAGGTTGTGGGCTCTGCTGACTGCCACCAGGGGGCAGCAGCGGCCTGCCTTTCACCTGCAGTCTGCCATTCACTGGCGTCCTCCCTCGGTCCAGGTAGCCATGGCTACAGACCCCCCCCTCCAGCCCCCCCACTGGGTCCGTCAGGCACAACTGAGCTAATGCATGACGTGATGGGGCGGGGGCAGTTTGCAGGGGGCAGATGCAATGCCGGGGAGGGAGGGGGGACCTGGGTCGGCAACAACTAAGCACATTGGGGTCTCCAGTGGGGTGGGGGCCACGACCCCCCCCCAAAATCTGGCTCTCTCCTCCCACACATCCAAACAACCCCTCCAAAACAAAAAAAATTTTTTTTAAATCTACCCCTGCCCCATGCCCAAAATCCCCCTCCCCCTTCTCTCCCATCGCACCCCCAAATCTGCTCCTCCAACCCCCACGTCCCCCAAGATCCAGCCCCCCTGCATGCCCCACCTGCCCCTTCTCCCACCCCCAATTGCCCCTCCAAATGTCTCCCCCCCTTCTCCCTGTGCTCAGACACCCCCCTCTTCTCCCCCACAGCTGCCCTGCGGCCCGGGGGACCCCAGAACTAGAACCATCCCCATCCCAACCCCCTTCCCACCCCAATGGGGGTTAATCTGGGGGGACCCCCCCCCGTTTGCCCCTTCCCAACTCACGATCCAGGAAGTCATTCAGCATCTTGACGTGATGGTCCCAGGTCTCAGTGTTGCTGACGTTAAAAGTCACGTCCAGGGCATCTGTTTTGGGGCGGATCATCATCCCTGGGGGGGGGGGGGGGCAGGAGGGAGAGATGTATGGGGGGGTTTCTACTTTAGGGGGGCAGTACGAGCCCTCCCAGCGCCGCCCTTCCCACCCTGATCATGCCAATGCAGCCGGGCGCCCGCGATGAGAAGGATCCACCGGGAGAGGCGTGCGTGAGAGTGTGTGCGGCCCCCACACGCGCAAAAAAAAAAAAAGGGGGGGTACCCAAGAGGGTGCCCCCGGGCCCGCCCTCCCACAACGGCCCCAGCCGGGGGCCCTGGCCAAGGAACCCAGGCCGGAGGCGGGGGTGGCAAGTGGGCGTGCGACGGGCGTGCGACGGGCGTGCGAGCGACGGGCAATGCAGGCACAGCGGGGCACGTTGCCCCCCCCGGGTGTCCCCCCCCCACGCACGAGGCCTTACCGGGCACGGAGAGGCGGTCCTGGTACTTGGGGATATAGGGGTCCACCGTCTGCAGCATGACCCACATGGTGAGCGTGAAAAGCGCCGTGAGAAAGCCGTAGAAGACCAGGTAGAAGAACAGGATCATGGCTGGGGGGCAGGGAGGGGGGACAAAATGGGGGGGGGGTCAAGCAGAGCCCCCACATGGGAGAGGGGAGCCCTCCTGTGCCCCCCCAAACCCTGCCCCTCTGCAGCCCCCGCAAACTTCCCCTACCTCAGTCTTCGATCTCACCCCCGCCCCATCTTATTCCACCCCCGCAGGTGGACCCCCGGACCCCTTCCACTCTGCCCCACAAGCCAACAGCTCCCCGACACACACCTGCCCCCCTCCTCAGGCTGCAGCCCCCCTTCGTCCAGCACCTAGGCTGGGAGGCCCAATGCGCCCCCCCCCTCACATTCCCATGCTGGCCCTGTTCCCGTTAATTAGACAGGAGATGAAGGGAATTGGGGGGGGAAGTTACCCCTCCCCCCAACACATGGCCTAACCCCCCTGCCCCCTGACAAACCTTGTGCAGGAAGGAGGGGTTTGGGCACATACCCCCCCAAATAGGGGGTTCCCAGGGGGGAATTTGGATGTGTCCCCCAGCTCATACAGGAAGTGGGGGGCAGATGGCTTTCCCTCCAGAAACAGGGGTCTGCACCCCACTCTGCTGGGTGCCTGGGTGTGGGGGGTTCAGCCAGTTGGGGATCCCTCCCCAGACTAAATGGGGGGGAAGGGGCCAGATCCCTCAATCTTCCCCCTCAGATCCACCCCAACCCCTGCACTCCCAGATGCACCCCTCCGCTCACTGCCCTGCAGCCAGGGTACCCCAACATCCCTCCCCTGCACCCCCAGATCTACCCCTCCCCCACTGCACCCCCAGCCAGGGTACCCCCATGCACCCCTCCCCACACCCCAGATCCATCCCTTTCTCAAAAGCCCTCCAAGTCTCCAGATACCCCCCAATACCCTCAGACCCAACCCCCCCATACACCCCTAAATAGTACAGCCCCACACTTTACCTAGACCACGTGTCCCTGCAGAATGAACCCTGCGGCCGTTCCGGGGACCCCTGCACAGAGCCCCATGGATTGGGAAGGGAGGGAATCAGGACACGGGAAAAGCCCTGGGGGAGACGGGGATCCCCTGATCCCCACCCCCAACATTCCCCTCCCCTGATCCCCAGCACAGCCCCAAGGCTAGCCAGCAACACCGCTCTGCCCTCAGGGCTCGCAGGTCGGCTCCCCGCTCGGGAGACAGGCCCGGAGGAGCGCAGGAGAAAACCCAAAGGTGAGAGAACAGAGCAGCTCTGAGCTATCCCAGGTGTAAACCCAGAGTAACCCCGGTGTAAACCTAAAAGGGGTGGCCATCAGCCCCTCTACTCCCCAGTTATTACCTGGTTTAAACCCAGATTAATACCAGTGTAAACCTAAAGGGGTTGGCCATCTGCTCCTCTACTCCACAGCTACTCCCTGGTGTAAACCCAGAGTAACCCCGGTGTAAACCTAAAGGGGGTGGCCATCAGCCCTCTACTCCCCAGCTATTCCCTGGTTTAAACTCAGATTAATACCATTGTAAACCTAAAGGGGTTGGCCATCAACTCCTCTAGTCCACAGCTACTCCCTGGTGTAAACCCAGAGTAACCCTGGTGTAAACCTAAAGGGGGTGGCCATCAGCCCCTCTATTCCCCAGCTACTTCTTGGTGCAAATTCAGAGTAATCCTGGTGTAAACCTAAAGGGGATGAAGATTAGCCCCTGTGCTCCCCCAGGAGCAAACCCAAAGGTGAGGAAGAACAGAGTAGGTCTGGCCTACAGCCTGGTGTAAACCTGGTGTAACCCCAGTGTAAACCTAACAGGGATGGTGATTAACCCCTCTGCTCCTTCCTGGTACAAATCCTGAGTAACCCAGCTGCAAACTTGAAATTGGAGGCATGGGAGAGCTGCCCTTGGTTATTCCCATTGTAAATCCAGAGTAACCCTTCTGTAAATCTACAGGTGTCTGTCTACACAGAACTGGCCCCCTCAGCCTGCAACTACTCCTTGATGGAAATGCACCTAACCCAACTTCCCAGCCCCTCTGGAGCACCTGAGCATGGGAGGGATGTAAATCCAGATGAACAGGTGTAAACCTGTAGTAACCCTAGTGCAACCCAAAAGGTGACTGTAAGCAAAGCATAGCCCCTCTACTTAGAGGTGTAAATCCAGAGTAAGCAATGTCACTCCAAAGGCAGCGGAGATCAGAGAGTGATCCGTTGCTCCCAGGTGTAAATCCAGAGTAACCCAAAGGCAAGGGGGATCAGAGCAATGCTTTGCTCCAGGTGTCAATCCGGAGTAATCTGCTCCAGGTGTCAATCCGGAGTAACCCAAAGGCAAGGGGGGCAATCAGAGCAGTGCATTGCACCCAGCTACTACCCAGTGTAAATCTAGAGCAATCCCATCGATCGCCAATGCCTTATGGGTTGCAGGGAATGACCCACCGCTCCCGGCTACTCCTGGGTGTCAATCCGGAGTAACCCCCACTACAAACAGTGCAACACTCCTAGCTACCCCCCTGCCCACACCCTAACCCCAGCGCTTCCGGGGAGGGCGGCAGGGTAGAGGGGTTCCCCCCAGCCCCACAAACAAAGCCCTTGGCTAGCACAGAGGCCGGCTCAAAGCCCCTAAGCCCAAGGACTGGTAGAGGCAGGTCACACACAAGTACCAGTGGGGCCCCCCACAGGCCCTGGGCCCAGCTGTGATCCGGGGAAAGGACAGGTGAGGGGTTCATGTGGCCCCACATCTTGCCCTCTGCCAGCCCCCTCCCCAGAGCCTCCCCCACCACGCTTCCCAGCCCCCCCACCCCCTACAAGCTCAGTCAGCCCCCCTCCATTCCCATCTCCCCACTCTGCCACCTGCCCCCCACATCCCCCCAGCCTCCCCACTCCACCACATCTACCTGACCCCCAGCTCCCCCCCACTCCACCACCTGCCCCCCACATCCCCCTTTTCACCAGCCCCCCATGTCCCCCCAAAAGCCCCTCATATCCCCCCACTCCAACAGCCCCCCCTCCAGCTCCCTGCCAGTCCCTCCCCACTCCTTCTCCCACCCCGACCTCCCTGCTCTAAGTCCTCTCCCCCCACTGCCCCCCCAGATCTCTCCCCCCCCCACCACACCCCCACTCTCCACCAGCCCAATCCGGTCCGCCAGGCCGCCCGCTTCTCTGCAATGCAACAAGCCAAGACATTATCCCCCAGCCAGAGCGAGGTGGGAACCCAGCCCCCCCCTCCCCACAAGTTTCACTGCCAGCCCCCCCCTCCCCCCGGCCTGCTGCAGTGAAGGGAGGGGGGACGCTGCCTTCTGCAGTGAATCTAAGCCGGGATTAATGGTGAATCCCAGCCTACCGCCCCCCCCACACACACACACTTAAAAAAAAACCCTGGACAAAGCAAAGGGCAATTAATCCAGACAGGGTGGGGGGCCCCTATTCTGAGGGGCCCCCCTCCATACAGCTCCCCCTGCCTCCCCCATAGCTGGATTCCCTCCTTCTATCCAACCCCTTCCCACTCCCAAAGATGGGGGGGCAGTGGTGTCAGGCCACAGGGGGGTACGTGCAGGAGGAAAAGGGGGGGCCTGCAAAGTGTGGGGGGGAGCGAGAGGGACTGGACAGAGGGGCAAAATCTGGGGGGGTAGGAGGGGGGAGGATAAGGAGTGCTAATTTTGGAGGGAGAGGGCTAATGCCGGATGGAGGGGCTGATCCCCCCCTTCCAAGTCCCCCTCGGCATGGGGCGGGGGCTGTGTTGACAGATCGGGGGGGGGGGGGGGGCTAAGACTCACCCAGCTCCTACAGAAAGCTGACCTACTTTTCCCAGCCCTGTCCACCGCAGCACTGTGAAACTCGGGGGGGGGGGATTGATAGAGACAGGGCATGGGGGGCATTACCCACCCCCCCAGCCCCTGCCCCATATATAGCCCTGTCTCTGCCCCACACCAATCTCAGAGGCCAGCCCCCTTCTCTGCCCCCCCCATCACCACAGCCCCCCAGCCCCCTCCCAGTACTACATAGATAAGGGCAACCGATTTTCTTTGAGGGGGATGGGGAATATAGCCCCCCCCCCAATTTTTCTCCTTCACCCCCCCATGTGATGGGTTCATTTACCCGCCCCATGAAACACCCCAAAACATTATGAGAAGGGCTTCAATCCTAGCCCCTCCCAATAATCCCCCCCACTTTAAGGCACATAGCCCCCGCCCAAAAAAATACACCCCAGGGATCACCCAATGACTCCACTTTCTACAGAGATTTGGGTCATGACGACAATTCTCCCAGAGAACTGTGCCCCCAAACAGCCCCCCCAAATCCGCCTATTTTCCGGACTCTTCAAGGACACCCCAATAACCCCCCCGACAACCTGCTCCTGACACCCCCGGTTATTGCCCCTAGATAGCAGGGGGGATTGGGGAGGGTTAAGAGCACCTGCTAATGACACCCCAAATTTCCCCCATCTTAACCTCCCCCCGGCCCCCTCCTTTTAAGGACACCTGCTAGCGACACCCCAAATTTCCCCATATTAACCTCCCCCCGTCCCCTTCCTTTTAAGGGCACCTGCTAACGACACCCCAAATTTCCCCATATTAACCTCCCCCCGTCCCCCTCCTTTTAAGGGCACCTGCTAACGACACCCCAAATTTCCCCATATTAACCTCCCCCCGGCCCCTTCCTTTTAAGGGCACCTGCTAACGACACCCCAATTTTTCCCCATATTAACCACCCCCCGTCCCCCTCCTTTTAAGGGCACCTGCTAACGACACCCCAAATTTTCCCCATATTAATCACCCCCCCCCCCCCGCCCCCCCCCCCCCCCCAATTCCCCCAATACCCCCCCTCCCCCCCCCCCCCCCTCCTTTTAAGGGCTCCTGCTTGCGACAACTTCTCCCCCTAGATCAACCTCCCCCCTCCTTTTAAGGGCATTAGCTAACGACACCCCAATTCTCCCCCTAGCTCAGCGGCCCCCCCCCCCAAAAAAAAACCCACGCTTCTCCGGCTTTTCAAAGGCTAACACGCCAATCACCACCCCCCGCGGCTCTGCCCCAGAGCCAGCCCCCCCCCAAGCCAGCCACGTACCCCAACTGCTGCCCGTGCGCCCCATAAATTGGCGGGTGCGCGGGTTCCAGATGGCTTCTCGCCACTCCGCCATGACTTGCCCGCAGGTTTTCTTCTCCTTCTCGATAGCCATGGTGTGGGGGGGGGCTGCAGAACTGGGGGGGCTGGAGCAAGGAACCCTAGATTCCCCCGGCGGAGGAAGGAGCTGGGGGGGCTGGCGGGGGGGGCGCTGGATACGTAGCTACACCCGGGAGATGCTTCCCCAGCGCCGGCTCCGCAGCTGATGGTGAGCAGAGCAAGGCAGCGTGTGGGGGGGGGTGGTGAGGGGTGGGGGGGTATTTTATCCGCTCAGCCCTCCCCAGGCCCCGCCCCACCGGGCGCTCATGCATATGCAAATGAGCCCGCCCAGGGGGCGGGGCGGCTCATTCAGGTTTTGCGGCCGGCCCGGGGCGGGGCTTCAAGAGACGGGGCAGGGGGAGTCTCCCCTCCCCCCGCACCCCCCAGGGAAAGGGGGATATCCCCCGTGGTGGGCCCCTCCCCTGGGACAGGTGGTGGGGAGGGGATAGATAGATAGATAGATAGATAGATAGGTGAAGTGATGGATGGATGTGTGGGTGCATGAAGGGGTGGGGGTGATGGGTGGGTGAGTGGACGAAGGGATGGATGGATGCATGGATGGGTGTATGAATGGATGGATGGATGGGTGTATGAATGGATGGATGGATGGATGGATGAAGAGGTGGATGGATGGATGGACCAGTGAGTGGATGACGGGATGGATGGATAGGTGGGTGGGTGGGTGGACGAAGGGCTCTGTCTGGGGATGGAGGGATGGGTGGGTGGGTGGACGCAGGGTTCTGCCCAAGGATGGCGGGATGGGTGGGTGGGTAGAGATGAGGGATGGATGAGACAGTGGGTGGGTAGGTGGACGAGTGGACGAAGGGCTCTGCCCAGGGATGGACAGATGGATGGGTGGGTGGACGAAGGGACGGATGGATGGGTCAGTGAGTGGGTGGATGGATGTGTGGGTGGGTGGATTGGTGGGTGGGTGGGTGGACGAAGGGACGGATGGATGGGTCAGTGGGCGGGTGGATGGATTGGTGGGTGGGTGGATGGATGGACGAAGGGATGGATGGATGGGTCAGTGGGTGGATGGATGGATGGATGGGTCAGTGGGCGGATGGATGGATGGATTGGTGGGTGGGTGAATGGACGAAGGGAGGGATGGATGGGTCAGTGGGTGGGTGGGTGGGTGGATGGATGGATGGATGGATTGGTGTGTGGGTGGATGGACGAAGGGATGGATGGATGGGTCAGTGGGTGGGTGGATGGATGGATGGATGTGTGGGTGGGTGGGTGGACGAAGGGATGGATGGATGGATGGATGGATGGGTGGGTGGATGAAGGGATAGATGGATGGATGAATGGATGGATGGATTGGTGGGTGGGTGGGTGGATGGACGAAGTGATGGATGGATGGGTCAGTGAGTGGGTGGGTGGATGGATGGATGGATGGATGGGTCAGTGGGCGGATGGATGGATGGATTGGTGGGTGGGTGGATGGACAAAGGGATGGATGGATGGGTCAGTGGGTGGGTGGATGGATGGATGGATGGATGGATGGATGGGTGGGTGGATGAAGGGATGGATGGATGGATGGATGGATGGGTGGGTGGGTGGATGAAGGGATGGATGGATGGATGTGTGGGTGGGTGGATGGATGAAGGGATGGATGGATGGATGGATGGATGGATGGGTGGATTGGTGGGTGGGTGGATGGATGAAGGGATGGATGGATGGGTCAGTGGGTGGGTGGATGGATGGATGGATGGATGGATGGATGAAGGGATGGATGGATGGATGGGTGGGTGGGTGGATGAAGGGATGGATGGATGGATGTGTGGGTGGGTGGGTGGATTGGTGGATTGGTGGGTGGGTGGGTGGGTGGACGAAGGGACTGATGGATGGGTCGGTGGATGGATGGATTGGTAGGTGGGTGAATGGACGAAGGGAGGGATGGATGGGTCAGTGGGTGGGTGGATGGATGGATGGATGGATGGATGGATTGGTGTGTGGGTGGATGGACGAAGGGATGGATGGATGGGTCAGTGGGTGGGTGGATGGATGGATGGATGTGTGGGTGGGTGGGTGGACGAAGGGATGGATAGATGGATGGATGGATGGATGGATGGATGGGTGGGTGGGTGGATGAAGGGATAGATGGATGGATGGATGGATTGGTGGGTGGGTGGATGGACGAAGGGATGGATGGATGGGTCAGTGAGTGGGTGGATGGATGGATGGATGGATGGATGTGTGGGTGGGTGGATTGGTGGGTGGGTGGGTGGACGAAGGGATGGATGGATGGGTCGGTGGGTGGATGGATGGATGGATGTGTGGGTGAGTGAGTGGACGAAGGGATGGTTGGATGGATGGATGGATGGATGGATGGATGGATGAAGGGCTCTGCCCGGAGATGGGGGGGTGGGTAGCTACCCGGCGGTACATCCCGCGCTCCATCCCACGCTGCAAAGCCGCTGTGACCCCACTGCCCTGGCTCTGGGGTCACCTCGACGTGCTGAGCTGGGGTGTGTCACCTGGAGCGGCCACGTCCAGGGCCAGGTGCACGTTACCTGTAGCGAGCGCCGGGCATCAGCGAGCCAGTGGCAACTCCTCTAATCTGGGGGTGGGTGGGGAGGGAACAGGGGGTGTAATACCCCCCATCTCACACACTCGTCCGGAGTCACACCACCGTCCACCAGCCAGCAACAGGCCCACTGGAAATCCGAAGTGACTCCAGGGGACAGACTCGGGACAGATGGAAGGGTGTGGGCAGGGCCAGGAAACTGTCTAGGGCCGGCCCCGGGGCTGCGTGGGGGGGGGCGGATGGATGGACACATGGATGGAGGGTTGCGTATGGGGCTGGGTGAATGGAGGTTTGGGTGGGGGGACTGATGGATGGACAGCAGCATCTGGGCACAGATGGATGGACAGATGGATGCAGGGCTGTGTGTGGGGTGGGTGGATGGATTGTGTGTGCATGGAGGGGGGCTGGGAAGATGGGGGGCTGTGTGTGGGGCTGGTGGATGGACGGACGGATGGAGGGGGGCTGGGCAGATGGGGGGCTGCATGTGGGGCTGGGTGGAGGTGGATGGATTGTGGATGGATGAAGTGGGAGCTGGGAGGATGGGGGGCTGGGTGTGGGGCTGGGTGGATGGATGGATGGATGGATGGATGAAGGGGGGCTGGGAGGATGGGGGCTGCTTGTGGGGCTGGGTGGATGGACGGGCGGAGGGGGGGGCTGAGTGGAGTGGGGGCTGGGAGGATGGGGGCTGTGTGTGGGGCTGGGTGGATGGACAGGCGGATGGGGCGCTGCGTGTGGGGCTGGGTGGATGGACAGGTGGATGGAGGGGGGGCTGAGTGGAGGGGGCGCTGGAGAGGACGGATGGAGGGGGGCTCAGCAGATGGGGGGCTGCACGTGGGGCTGGGTGGATGGATTGTGGATGGATGAAGTGGGAGCTGGGAGGATGGGGGGCTGCATGTGGGGCTGGGTGGATGGACGGGCGGATGGAGGGGGTGCTGGGCAGAGGGGGACTGCGTGTGGGGCTGGGTGGATGGACAGGCGGATGGGGGGCCGAGTGGAGTGGGGGCTGGGAGGATGGGGGGGCTGGGCGGAGGGGGGCTGTGTGTGGGGCTGGGTGGATGGACGGGTGGATGGGGGGGCTGCATGTGGGGCTGGGTGGATGGACAGGCGGATGGAGGGGAGGCTGGGCGGAGGGGGGGCTGGGCGGATGGACAGACGGATGGAGCGGGGCTCAGCAGATGGGGGGGCTGCGTGTGGGGCTGGGTGGACGGACAGGTGGATGGAGGGGGGGCTGGGAGGATGGGGGGCTGGGTGGAGGGGGGGCTGCGTGTGGGGCTGGGTGGATGGACAGGCGGATGGGGGGGCTGAGTGGAGTGGGGGCTGGGAGGATGGGGGGCTGGGTGGAGGGGGGGCTGCGTGTGGGGCTGGGTGGATGAACCATTTGGCCATGCCGAACAGCACAGTTTGTGGTGTCGGCACCCCCCGGCCCTGGGCCCAGGATCCCCCCCCCAAACCCCCGCCGGGTCCGAGCCCCCCCAGCCCTGACCCCGGGCTCACCCCGGATCTGTCCTTGAGGCCCGGCCCGTGGCCAGCTGCCGGCTAACGAGCAGGTGCGGACAGAGCCGGGCCGATAAGATCGGGGGGCCGGGACACACGGGGCCCATTCAGCCCTGAAGGACGCGACCCACGGAGCGAAACGGTTCCCCTGGCCTCCATCCAGGGCCCCCCCTTAGATTTCACCAGGGACCCCATAGCGTGGCCGGGACCGTCGGTACCTCTGCACCAGGGTACCCCCCCCAGAACGAGTCACCGCTCGGCCCCCCATCTCCCATTCGGGGTGGGGATGCCCGTGGGAGCTGGGGAGGGAGGGAGGGGGTTGGGGAACCACCAGAGGACATGGGGCATCTTCTGCTCAGGGGGCGGGGCCTTAAGGTGTATGGGCGAGGCCTAGGGAAGGGGTGTGGCCTTGTCTGCTAGGAGGCGTGGCCTGAGGAAAGGTGAAACTGGGGCAAAGGTTTATCATTAAGGTCAGGGAGGAAGTTAATTCTGACACCCCCAGTCCCCTCCCAGATCCAGGGAGAGAACCCAGGAGTCCTGGCTCCCAGCCCCCCTGCTCTAACCCCCAGCCCCCACTGCCCTCCCAGAGCCATGGAGAGAACCCAGGAGTCCTGGCCCCCAGCCCCACCGCTCTAACCCACCAGCCCCCACTCCCCTCCCAGAGCCGGGGAGAGAACCCAGGAGTCCTGGCTCCCAGCCCCCCTGCTCTAACCACCTGACCCCACTCCCCTCAGGAGCCAGGGAGAGAACCCAGGAGTCCTGGCTCCCAGCCTTTGTGTGTGGAAATGGATGGGAGCTAAGGTGGTATGGAAGTGGGGGAGCTGGTGCAGAGGGGATCTATGGGGTGTTAGGCCCCCCACGGGAGAAGGCCGGGGCAAACCCGGCTGAAGAATCCAGGAACTGCTCAGCCCCCCACTTCCTGGTACCAAACTGGTTGAACTGGTCCAGCCTGCTGCTGCAGTCACGGGGCAAACGCACCCTCATCTTCCTCTGTCCCCTTCCCTCCTCCCCGGCCTACCCCCCAAGGCCCCCCATGGCCCCCACTCCCCTCCCAGAGCTGGGGAGAGAACCCAGGAGTTGTGGCTCCCAGCCCTCCCACTCTAACCACTAGCCCCCACTCCCATCCCAGAGCTGGGGAGAGAACCCAGGAGTCCTGGCTCCCAGCCCCCCC